TACCTATAAATAAAATCTCACAAATCAATAGATGCTCATGATGTTACGAACGAGATGTTAATTATTAATTAAACATACATGTGTGATAAATCAAATAAATCAAGATGTGGTTTCATCAAGTATATATATATATATATATATATATATATATATATATATATATATATATATATATATATATATATATCGACTACTTGTAAAATATCATAAATGTATTTTGTTACTAAATCGAGTTAAAAATGCAGTAACGTATAATTTTTTACGAGCTACCTCCTGGCAAAACCGAATAAACACAAAGTCTAATGGCTGCAGAGATAATGAGTTTGTAAAATTGGTATCTTCTCGCATTTTGAAAAAAAATATACCAGTATATAACATAATAAATAATCTTATGGCTTCAATTCCTTTCATTTTATACAGTTAAACAACAATAAATACGGTTAAAGCTTTTACATTTTATAATTTAAATAGTACAATGGTAAGTTTTTTTCTGAGAAAAGGTCATAAACGCATTTATTATTATGAACAATATAATTTAAACCCATAACTATATTAAAGATATTTATTCCATTTTACCAGTTGAATAATTCTGCTTGGTTTGCTAATTTCTTTACAACAAAAATGAAGTAAATATCAATTATGCTTTTTTCATAACGATGGTGATGGGACGGCAATCGACACGACTAGAGAGAGATCCGTCATCCGCCAAACGCCTTTTGGTGCTTTCCGATGCACGGGGTAAAACACTGCCAATTTCCTGACTCCGGGCTGCTACTGAGAATTTCTTAACAAAACCTAATATCAAATTTTTGCCCGACCCGAGATTCGAATCCCAGACGACATGATCAGCAGTCGCGCTTAATGAGGCTGTCAAAAGTACAGCTGGCACTTGACCGATTTCTTTTTATAACTTCCTTTTTTCACTGTCAATTAAAACTTATTATATTTATTCTTACAATAATACTACCATAAGTGTGTAAATGTGTCACTTACAATTTTCGCAACGTGTCTTAAATTACAAGGTAGCAACTAACTTGACGGTAATAACGAGGAAATTTCCGGTTAGGTTACAAGCAAGTAAATTACGTAATTTCGCTTATTACCATATCAAAGCAGCTACAACTGTTACTCAATATGACAGTAAACTGTATAACTCGTAATTTAAAATGTATTAATACTAACTTTAGCAGTCTTTGAATGAGATCGATCAATCAGCAGCCCTCGTCTCCACCTTCTAGATGGAGCGACGAGAGATGCGAGTGGTTCAGTACCGTGGAGAAACTGAGGAGACCTGAGCTCAACAGCGGACTTTTGTTAGGAAGGTTAGTGATACTGATAATGATTATTTGACGCCATATTCATTATATCTTCTCGGACAATTTTCAACCATAGAGACAACATTTAGTGGTGTTGTAAGCGTTTTACTAAAGAAAAGGCAATAGACCTCAATAAGTATATAAGGCTAGAGGCTACGCGCAAACACATAGGCACTTCAATAGTCCTATCCGTGCCTGACGAAGCGCTTAATGCTATAACATCGGAAGTAAGCTAGGATGCAGCAAATAACGATCAACTACACCCGAAAATCATATATTTGTATGTTTTCCTGGCTCATATTTGAATCCAAAACCCGCAATATATACTGATTCGTTCCATTTAAAACCTACGGTATATTATTTATTACATAGTAGTAAACTGCTGTTAAAGCTGAAAACTTAGTGTCACAGCATCGTTTCCGGAACACCCGAGATTTTGTGTGAGATTGAGAGGTTTTATGGGCAGCTGTACACATCATCGTTGGAGCCACACGCAAGTGTGAGTAACGGTCCAACAGCAAGTCGTATCCCACCTTATTCCGATGATATCCTGGACGTAAGTATGAGCGAGATTGGAATGGCTCACCAGCACCTTAAAAATGGCAAGGCTCCAGGCGAGGATGGAATTACAGCGGAGCTTCTGAAAGCGGGTGGAACACCGGTACTTAAAGTCCTTTAGAAGCTCTTCAATTCCACCCTCCATGGTGGCACTACTCCGGAGGCGTGGAACAGAAGTGCGGTGGTCTTGTTCTACAAGAAAGGCGACAACGCTCTCTTGAAGAACTACAGACCGCTTTCCCTTCCAAACCGCGTCTACGTGCTGTTTTCGAGAGTCATTGCGAATCGTCTCTCACGCAGACTCGACGACTTCCAGCCTCCCGAACAAACCAGTTTCCAAGGCTTCAGTACCATAGACCACATACCCTGCGGCAAATTTTACAGAAGACCGAAATGTACAATCTGCCTCTTTGCCTGGTGTATGTGGACTATGAGAAAGCCTTTGATTTCGTAGAAATTTGGGCGGTGTTACAGTCCCTTCAGCGGTACCAAGTTGACTGTCGGTATATCGAAGTACTGAAGTGTTTGTATAGTAGGGCTACGATGGCTAGCCGATTACAAAACCAGAGTACGAAATCTATCCAAATGCAGAGAGGTGTAAGACAGGGTGAAGTTATATCTCCGAAACTCTTCACGATACGGCATTAACATCAATCGCGAGTACATCACCTTCAATTTGCCGACGATTTAGTCCTTATGGCGGAGTCGCTGGAAGACCTAAGCACTATGCTAAATGACCTTAATAGTGCCTCTAGACCTAAATACTGAAGTCATTAGACCCCTAGACATTGTTCGTTACCCGCTCATTTTAGTGCCAGAAATTTTTGAAATTGGTTGCAAGCTTATCCCGTAACATATTTTTTTGCCTAATGTGTTATTTGTTTAGTTAAATTTTGTATGCATAAGCCAAGTGCCGAAATGGGACGATGAATTCTTTCCGCAACCACACGGTTAAGTTGGGTTTGTGGTGATTAATGCTATTTGGGCCCTTTTGTTATCAAATTTAAGCTAAAGCGAATTAAAACTGTTAATCTTACATTTCACGCTCAAAGACGATTATAAGGCCCGTATTAATGAATGTTACTCAACGACGAATTCGTAATCTTCTCTCTCTTCGTACGTAATCTTTTGATACATCCTCATTACAATATCAGCATCTCAAGATCATTGCCAATTTGATCTATACATTTAATAAAAATGTAAATTGCAGATGTCTGTGCATTTAATATTTTTGTAACAAAATTGATTGAGAGGGACTAAAAATAAGTAACTGAATACATTTATATCATTTTTAGAATTGTCTGTCTATTTGTTTGTTAATATATCATGTTTAAAGTATCGATTTATATCAAAATAATCGTTAAGAAAATTGTGAAGCGTATCTTCGTTTTAATTATATATATTATATTTCGATCCTTGTTTAATATAAAAAATAATAATAAATTAATAACAATTTGTACAATTAATACATAATAATAAAAGATATCTTTCTTACAATTAAAAAAATATATACACAGATTTTAAATTTATTTTTTATGTAAAACAAGAATCTAAATTTATATTAAACAACAATATCTCAAAATACGTTTAAAAACGTGTCACGAAATGTGTACTCATGGAATGTCGTGAACAGGTAGTAGAAATCTTGACTTACATTCATCATCATCATCATCATTACAGCCCTTCACAAGTCCACTACTAAACATAGGCTTCACCCAAGGAATGCCACAAATCATGGTCCTGAGTCTTACCAGGTCGAGGTACGAGACCGACATTCGAGAACCTTTTTTCTCCATCGGTTGTCGGTTCTTCGAGCTATATGACCGGTACATGGCCACTTCAGCTTACTAATTCGTTGGGCTATGTCGATCACTCTGGTTCTACTGCGGACATCCTCATTTCTAAGTTTATCACGCAGAGAAATTCCGAGCAGAGCCCTTTCCATAGCTCGCTGAGCGACCTTGAGCGTCCTTATACGGCCAGCAATGAAGGACCACGTCTCAGATCCATAAGTCATCACTAGCAACACGCACTGGCAGTCCAATCTAGTTTTCAGGTTTTGAGGTATACCTGACGAGAAGATGTGTCGTAATTTCCTGAACGCTGCCAACCGAGTTGAATCCGTCGATTGATCTCTCGGTCGAAGTTGGACTTACTTAGTCAGACTATTTGTCCAAAGTAAACCTACTTGTCAATAACTTCAAGCTTAGTGCTCCCAACAACTACCGACATAGGTGTGACATGGACATTACATATGAACTTTGTTTTGTATAGACAAACGGGAAAACGGATAGGTCTTAAGATAAACATGGTTCATCTTAAGACCCATCCGTTGAGAGACACTCTTGAGGTCATCGAGTATAGTGTTTAGATCCTCCAGCGATTCTGCCAAGGACTATATCGACTACAAATCAAAAGTGAGTGGTGTATTCACCATTGATGTTAATACCGTATCCTTTCCAGTCCAGTAGCTTGAAAACTCATCTCAACGTCACATCTTCCAATGCAGCGGTGAAGACTTTCGGCGATATAACGTCACCTTTTCTTACACCTCTCTGCAGTTGGATAGGTTTCAAACTCTGGTTCTGTACACGGATAGCCATCGTAGCCCTACTGTACAAATACTTCAGCACTTCGATATACCAATAGTCAACTTCGCACCGCTGAAGAGACTGTAGCACCGCCCAAATTTCGACGGAATCAAAGGCTTTCTCATAGTCCACATTCGCCAGAAAAAGTGGTAAATTGTACTCTTCGGTCTTATGTATAATCTGCCGCAGGGTATGTATTCGGTCTATGGTACTGAAGCCTTTTCGGAAACCGGCTTGTTTGGGAGGCTGGAAGTCGTCGAGTCTGCATGAGAGACGATTCGTAATGACTCTCAAAAACAGCACGTAGACGCGGCTCTGAAGGGAAATCGGTTTGTAGTTCTTCTAGAAAGCGTTGTCGCCTTTCTTGAAAAACAAAACCACCGCACTTTTGCTCCACGCCACCGGAGTAGTGCCACTATGGAGGATGTTTTTTTTAACTATGACTTTTATTTAATTTACACAAACCTTATTGATGAACAAATAAAACTGATACTAACTTATTTTTATAGATATCATGTAAATCAAAAAATATATCTCAATTATCCAAAATTGTATTTTCACTTTTCTTTATAAATGGTGCACTAGCACAAAGAAACTTTGTTTCATACTCAATAGATTTAACACTTTCTGTTGTTTCAAAGCTTTTTTGAAGTAAATCCAACACCTCCATATCCTTTTTAGCAATTTCACACACCTTTTCAACAGACGCAAGCTCCTCTTCTTCAGCAATAAGCAATGCTTCCATTAAAGCCGCACGTTCAACACGTTTTCGCAATAATGTTACTTCTTCTTTCAAGTTATTATATTCCTCATTAGACACTTGTTTTTATTCTAATCTCGCTCAGACTGATTATTTTTATTAACTGGATTTACGGCTCTGGGTTCTAGCCCTTCTGAGCCTATCATTTCTTTCGGAATCTTCATTTTATATTCTTTTTCTAATTAATATTCTGATGCATCACATTGTGAAGCCCTTGGGAGATTTTGACGACAGCTCAACCTAGCGGATAGTTGATGACAACAACGACTCAAGTTCATAAGGCGCCCAAGCGATAAAAATAACTTAAGTTTTATACTGATAATAGTTCACACACGCGGACACTTAATTCACAAAATCGCATCACTTTTACGAATCAAAATCCACTTTTAACCATTATTCAAGCGACAAAACAGGAGCGACTATCCGTCTACGGCCAAGTTCCCGCCAAACTCCGCTCAGAATGACGTCCGGGATATCATCGGAATAGTGTCGGATAAGACTTGCTCTTGGATCTTTACTTACGCTTGCGTGTGGCTCCAACGATGAAGTGTGCAGCTGCCATAGAACCTCTCAATCTCACTCAAAATCTCAGGTGTCCCAGAAACGATGCCTGATGTCTTCAGCTTTGACATTTGGCTCTAAATGTCAGACAGATCTCTGGCAAAGACTTTGGAGCTCTGGTTCCGCTCGATCGTTTCTTCAATACGTGCCGTATTAAAGTTGCGTAAATCCCGCCACATGCATTTGGAGATTTGTCTGTTCAGTTGCCTGTATGTTGTCAAATCTGCTGACGATTGCAGCCTCATCTCCCTTCTAACAGCTATGAGATTAAGATTGAGATCGGAGAGTTTTTGTGTTCTTCTACAGCGTTCTTCTTGCAGAACTTCACTCCAACCGCATGGACAGTTTCCACAAACTTCTCATTAATATCGTCTACTGCATTGCAATCTTCTAGGCACTGAAAACGGTTTTATATCTCAGATGAAAAGTTTCGGGTCTTTGGATTAGAGCACAAGGGCCACGAAACGTTGACTTCATTAGACGAGACCTCTCAAACTTAACGCTTAGGTTCAGTGTATGAGTACCTCTAACTATTCGGTGATCGCTGCCAGTTTTCACCCTTGCGATCACTGAGACATCACGGAGCTGCAAGAATAAGCCGTCTAATCGTCATAATGAACTCAATCTCATTTTTTGTCGAACCGTCGGGGCTCGACCAGGTCCACTTTCTGTGAATAGCGGGGCCGTCGGGGACTGGGGATCATCTATTTGCGTCGTTGCTCATGGGGAGTATATTGCCATAGTTGCCACGCTTGGCGAGCGAGTTGGCAACCGCAGTTTTTTGTTGTACAGTTGCTGTTATCAGGAAGATGCTGCTGCCCATCCCCTGCCTGTTTCCGTCTGTCGCCTCTTACGACACCCACGGGAAGATATGGGGTAGTGGATATTCTTAACCGCCACTATACAGCAATGTATTGGTAAAGGGAAAAATTATTAAATGATTATTGTAACTTTAAAATTAGAACGAATACTTTAGTATTAAAATAATGCAATTAGTTTTTTTTTTCATATTCCTCTTATCTCACCTTAAATTATTATAACCAGGATGGTTTGCGCGGAAAAAATGGGTTTTAGTTGCATGGTAGTGGCGAAATCAGTAAAACGAAATTATAATAATTATGAATAATACTTATTATAGAACTTTACAAAAATCTGCCCATATTGATCATTATACAGAATGGGTCCCACATATATGCAATAAATGAAACCACAAGTAATACTAGTCCGTAGAAGTGTAGAAAAATTAAATATTAAATTAAAACCTGTAAAATAAAAAAGTGAAATTTTCAAACAAAATAAATATTAAAATAAATTCAGTAAAAGTGAACACTCTGTTTAGACAACGTACCTTGACCCTTTGGAAGAGTGACAACGTTGCACGCGGGTGGCACGCCGACAAAAGACACCGCTGTCGATATGTCGCAATACCAATAGTTTGCACTGCGTGGCAACGTCGCTTTTTAATGTTCAAGGATTCAAGTTCATTGAATCATTGACTTAGTGACCCAATTCTATAGAGTGTTCAAATTTGCTTAAAATTAAAACTCTACTTTTTGACCTAATTACTGGACCGATTACGTTCATTTTTTTTATATCGTCAGCTTAGGCGATAACAAGTATATGGTTTCATTTATTGCATATATGTAGGACACATTCTGTATATAATGATACAAAATATAAAAAATTGTCTGTTTATCGTTGTGTCCGAGTTAGTAATCCCACAAAAATATAGTGAGATCGGAACAGATAAAACGGCTTTACGTGCTTTCTGAGGCATAGAGATGAAACACTCTCAAACCCTTGTCTCAGGGCTGCTACTGAGAATTTCTTGATAGGAAACCCAACTGGTTTTAAACCCGATGACATCTATTACTTAAAGGTCAAAAAAGTTTTCTAGGTTGAGTTTAGTTTAATTTTTTATTTGTTTGCAGAATGAGACAAATTATAGATACTACGCAATTTCATTTATTTTGTTAGTGTAGGTAATTAGTTTTAGGTAAGCATTGGATTGTAGTTTTTTATTCAATATGAATAATTAGTGATGGTGCTTGCTTATTTAGGGCAATATCTTATTTGTTGTATGGAACCCAAGTGTTGCTAGAGAAATTCGAGAACGAATTAGGGATTACGTTATTGCGCTCATTTTGTTGTTTGTTTACAAAATAAAACACAAGCGTACAGTTTGCCCTACTTGTTTCTTAGTTCGTTTGTGGGTCCGTTTATTTGTTGAATGTTTTATTCAGATTATTGTCTTTCTAAGTCTTCGCGATAGTTAAATTTACAAATAAATCGTCATCACATAAAATAGCAAAAGTACTGATTCCACTTGAACGAAATCACAGGCACAGCTAGTAAACACATAAAAACAGTATCTCATTTACCAACAAATGGTCCAAGACTCAAATGCCGTGACGGCAAACGTGATGACGCGCTCTTACGTTGTTATGCACCCACTACGCCATCGCTCTCGACTCCTCGACTAGAATACACTTCGTTGCTTCTCCGTGTAAGGTGTATGCGAGGTGTGTACCTTTCTATTGAACTCTAGTATACTTGACACGTTAACCGCTTGTTTGCACACTTTGTATTTCTTTTTAATATTATTTTTATTTATTTGACTGCAAATTTCTTTATTGGTACTCTTAATTATAAATTCTACCCTCAACTATGATATTTCACATGTGCTGTGCGTTCCGTGACGGCCAACTTTTATAACCTCTTCTATATTTGATTTTGATATGAAAAGTTGACAACCCTACTAAACATATGTGTAATATTTAGTAACAATACTGGATTTGAAATACCCAGACACGTAACGGCCAACATCCGATACTGTGATCGTTAATTAACTGCCAAACTGGGTGATTACGGAAAACGCTTATTACAATGGAAGTGGCCATGCGGGCCCCGGCATCGTACTGTTACGTTCTGATAAAGATGAAGAATACATCAAGTTACAGAGTATTCAGTGGCGTATACGTATGTTTTAATTCAAATTATTCTTTGAGATATTATAAAATCAGAGCAATTCTTTGAATTAGCCACAAAACACATTTTCTATGCAAAAAGTTTTTAGATATATATTAACACTTAATTTATTTTTTCTATATTTCCCTTTTGGGTTAAATATTTGATCATTACTTTTTCATGAATTCCTTTCTCCTCCTTCTAACCGCACTGAGCTTCATATCGTATTACATTATTAGGGGAATTTACTGCGTATATTATCTTCTTGGCACAAGCACCCGTTGCATTTGCCTTGCCCTAAGGCTATCGGGGTACTAAAAGATTTAACAGATAGAACAAAGGCTTTATGTTCTAATTATTTTCCTTTCATTAGATATTAGCTCATCAAAACTTTTTACAGAAATGTAAGTATATATTTTTATGTAGGAATGTTATTCATTTCAATTATATGATTGTAATAGATGTCTTGCCCACAAATATTCGAGCTTAGTTATAATCCGTCCTTTTTAATTATCATTTAGTGGAGAAAGAGAGAATTTTCTTGTGATTACAAACTTATATTTTGTGATTAAATCATCGACCGTAAAATAGAAGTGATATATGGTACAATATTTTTTTCCACTGCAAAGTTAAGTTTGTCTTTCAATCCGACTTTTATTTTAGTTAAAAAAATGTTTAGTGTTTACTTTAACATCAATTCCCGGGATGAATTCACTATCTGCATACATAATTACGTTTATATGGATCCCTCAGGGTATGCGTTCTACCCACACTTGTCCTAGTTATGAGTAGCGATTATATGTGATTTTACTTGAAAAATATTTTTAATCCAAATGTAGATACAGTTCGATTCGCAATAGTTACTGCTGCTGTAATATACTTCGATTCCTTGTGTGCTGTATCTTCGATTATGAATCAAAACGCAGATATACGTTGTCACCCACCCTAAAGACTTAAGTAGAATACCTTGTAACCATTAAAAGTCCCCGGTTCGCTACACTAATCATATGAAACACAACAGCAGCAAGCTGCTATTTTATGCTGGTGTTCTGCGAGAGCTGACCCGTTTGTGCTACAACCATAATATAGCTATAGTGTGACTCACGTTGTAAATTAAAGTAAAGTTACAGCGTATATACGTCCCACAGCTGGGCACAGGCCTCCCCTCATTTCTGAGCGGGTTTTAGGGCAAGGAAGTGTCCGCCGCGCTGTCATTTTTGCTATTTTTTTCTTATTCCTCAGACATGCAGGCTTTCTCACGATGTTTTCCTTCACCGCCGAGCACGTGGTAAATAAGCACTTAAAATTGCATTTGGTGCCGGCGGGGATCGAACCCGGGTTACTCGCATTCTGTTGTATTTACAGCGAGCGTTAACCATCTGAGCTACCACGGCTCTTTTTTCACTCTCACGTTGATATCGTAATAATTATGTTCACAGCAAAGATTTAGACATTATTTTCGAATATATAGGGCTCCCCATAGAATGTCTCATCCCTACAGCTTATCTAACATATTATCAAAATTCCACTGCTAAACACACCCCTCCGTTAGACCTAGTTTAGTAGGGGAATATTTGACGTAGTTGCCATACTTGACTTTCGTTTTAGTTTTATTGTATTGAAGAGGGGACAAAGGAGCGGCTCACCTGAGGGTAAGTGACTACCGCCACCCTTGAACAACCGCAACACCAGAGGAATTGCAGGTACCTTTTACAAAGGAGTAAGCTCTTTTCTCCCTAAGTCTTATCGGTTCGAAAAAATCGCCGGTGGTAAACAATTCCTCAGAGAAGTTGTACGATGAAGGAAACTTCTAGTAAAATGCACAGTGGTGGACCGCCAAGCAAGCAAGCCTCTAGATAGTGAGGATGGTATCGTGAATTTTGGCGCGATGCGGCTGGAATTAATCCGAACAATTCCTCAGAGCACCACCCGTAGTAGATGCGATAGAAATCGTTAGTTCGATAGAAATAGATAGTTGTTATAAGAAAGTTATTTTCAGTATTATATTTCAGTATGCAATATATTTCAAAAACGAAATTAATAGAAAATATTCAAACTAACGAATGAAGGAGAAACAAGATTAATAAAATAGAACAGGAAATATGTAAGGGAGACATTGTTAAAATGATTCCGTTCCCGTGTTGCAGATGAGCGCCTGATACTTCGCAACATATCAGGCGAGTTCCGCTCCGGGGAGCTGACGTGCGTGCTCGGCCCGTCAGGCGCTGGCAAGTCTACTCTGCTCAACATACTGGCTGGATATACGTAATGTCTTCAAATTCTTTTACCACATTTTGCCATAGTTCAATTCCGTTATTTACGTAAATAGAGGATGTTATTTATCCTATATTTCTTTTCAGTTTTCACAAAAAAAGCAGTAATCTTTTAGTTATTTTTTACATATTTTTACATAATATTTGTACATAAGTTTTGTTAAAATTACAATGATTTTATCCTCTCTAGATCAATATCAACTACGGCAGTACCTTTGAGGAACTATCCTAATATTATATATTTAGTTTATAAAATATTGTTGTGAGTTTTTCATACAAACAAGGGTTAACAAACGGGTGCATAAACCACCCGATCATAAATGAATGCTATGACTCATAGTCACCCTTATATATTCTCGAATGGGCATCATAATGCAGACGTCTGTTCGCCCTTAAGGAATAATAAATAATGCCTGAAAAGATCACAGAGATCTGTTCCGATTTTCGTCACCCATTCCGATCTTTGTTACAGAAATGGTACGCTACATTGTGACATTTACTAGTACTACTTTATAATTATGTACATGAAAAAGTATAGACTACGTAAAAAGTTTACTAAAAGAAGAAAAATATATACATGTAATGAATTAAACGAATTTTTAAAAATCCGTTATTTGTTTTAAAATCCATCAAGCCGTTAAGGCTACAGAGCTTGCCTATGATATAGACAATATTTTTACGTGGTAGAGCTATGCTGCAGCTATATTATTAGTATAGTTGTAGAACGAATGTGTCGTTTCGATCGGGGAAGAACCACGCTCTCACAGATTACCAGCATGAAATAGCGGCTCAACGCTTCTATATCGGAGACTTCATTTTACTGGAAACGAGCTATTCCATCTAAGTCCTCACAGGTGACAACGCCTCTGCAATTTGATTCGTAATCAAGGATGGTTGTAGATGTCTATGGCCCAGGCTAACAGATGCCCAGATGGCCATGGCTAACATCCACTTACCATCAGATGGACTGTGTGCTCGTTTGTCACCCTTATCCTATAACAAATAGACATATATACTTATACATACACTACACTCGAAAATAATTACCCTCCTTCTGGGACAGTCAGCTGAAACAGAAACGCTCGTGCTAAATTAACCGTGGCCGGTTTGATATATACACTTTGCAGTTACACCTAAGATAGGCTAGGATGCGATACTCTCAGGTCACCGGAACATTTATGTATAATATAGTTTATAACTTAAATTGTAAAGAGTCCCTTAGAGAAAAATTTAAAGAAATATACATATTAACTTAGGCGTCCCTGTATATTTATGAAAATGTATCTAACGTATGTACATGAAAACATAAATAGCTTTCATAAGAATAAAAATTTTTATACTTTAAACACTAGGAACAATCATAAGCTTGTAATACCTGTTACTAGACTCCACAGAATTAGTAATTCATTTATGGGGCAATGTAAAATTGTCATTAAACTAGTTTAAATGTTTTATTGAAGAAAAATTGTACACTAGGAGTTATTACACTAGGAGTTATTATACTCCCTCCTTGTCCTAGACATTCTTAACAATTGTAGTACGCCGCATTCCATGCCAGCATCACAATTTATCCAAGCTCACTAAAAAAAATTTTAAAGCAGTATATCTGGCAACACTGTATCCACCCGTCCGTCAATGCAACCTCATTGCGTTTTTTTGTGCCAGCTGTCACAGTGTGTTTTATAATTTTTGTTGTAAAAATTAAATATGTTTAGTGTAAAATCAAATATTTTGTATCCAAAACCTACTACAAATAAATTTATTACGTATCTGCGTGGTAATAATTTGATTATGTACTTGGGAAAATGGGAAAGGAAGATATTCAAAATGGAGCTAACCGATCAAAGGTAAACAAAAATCCTATTGTTCGAGGTAGGTGCACGTGTATATAAAATAAATAAAGTTAAAACATTTATTACCTAAATAATAAAATCAGATTCACTGTGCCCATTTATTAACAAGTATTATCGAACAATTTCACTATTAAGGGTTAATAACATAACCTCGTCACTCATATATTTTGAAATAGTAAATAGGTATTTTAACCTATAATTGTGGGTTGAGATACATTGTACAGGGATACGTTGAGAAATTTTAAGTGATATATATTAATGTTTTTATTACCTTCATTTACTTACGTTGGACAGTCGCCATTATCAGTCAGAAAATTGGGGCAGCAGACCCGGAAATTATAAACCCTGAGATTAGTTGTATACCCTGAGATTATAACTAAACTTTCTTTAGTATCAGAAAATCCTGATTATGAAAAGAAATAAGTGCTATAAATAAACTTAACTCATAAGTTTATTAAGGTTATGTAAACCTTTAACATCCACAAAAAATTGGCAGAACAAGTTAGAAATAATAACTGAATTCTGGGACAAAATTATCCGGTGTGTAAGGGAGAGTCAGTTTACTAGTCCTTAAAATTGTTAATTCCCAAATAAATGGGATTTAATAGATGCATTTTTAAATATAAAGACAGTTTATTATTACATATTATTTTGTAGACACATAAAATAAAAAATAAAAAGCTACATAATATGACACCCCTCTATCAGGCATTGAGTGTTGGTAGGCCTATGTGCAGCTGTGGACTTATATAGACTGTAATGGATGGATGGATAATATGACAAGAAAATAAGAAAAAATGTGATATGAGAACTGTTTTACCTTGATATGAAATATCTAAAGGTTACAAGTTAAATACACATAAAATATAAGTAAGCAAAAAGTGAGTAAAAAATAAGCATTTATAGGCTGTTTAGAAAAATCTGAAGGATTGAACCAAACCTATTATTTAAATTATATCCCTTGTGATATATTTGGCTTCACATGTTGCGAATGAAACCAGATTTGACAGATATGCAAAACAAAAATAGTATTGTAAGCATCAGATTGAATTACAATATATTGTTAAATTATTAAAAGAATAATAAAAAGACAACAGATAGCCTGTAAAATGTTTCATGACTTAGATTATTGTCAATTTTAAAAAATTAACAAAATATAATTAAAAAACTTGGTATAGAAGGTAAACGATAAATTATTATTATTGAGATAGTAAAACGAATATAATATAATAATTATTATATAACAATTAATATAACAAGACGATAAAATAATATGGAGAAATTTCGGCTGATAGGCAATTAAATTAAAATCGAGACCATGATTAATTAATTCAAATTAAACATAGGCACATTATTGCATTCGAGCTGTTTTATGTAATTTAATATAACCTAAGTAACAAGAAAGAAAGAATTTTTAGCATCATTAGGTTTTAAATAGAATGATGAGTTGCAAATGCATTAATGGCCTGCAGCTGTACATAAAACATCAATCTGGGAAAATATAAAAATTACATATTTCACTTATTAAAACAGTGGTAAATTAAACAATTAAAAAGAAATTTAAAAATAATTATAGGAAATAATTTTCTATTGTAAGATATTAAAGAGTTATGACAAGTTAAAAATAAGTAATATGTGAAGTAATAATTAAAAAATAAAATAAAAATGGATTTATTCAGTAAAATTAATTATGGTATCATTCATACCTATCATGTTATTATTATCACCTTCATAACTAAAACTGGGTATGGTAAAAGCACAATAGAGTTATGCTGACAGATGCATACACTGATTGCCAAAATATGTTAGCAACATAATAAATTGTTGTAGTAAGAGGGAATTATGTAAAATACTGATATAAATAGTGACTAGATAGATTGTGCATAACCTATTTTGGTTGCTATTAGTAAAATTAGGTTAATAATGTTGTGCTTAAAACCTCATTATATATAATAATGTATATATAATGTTATGTAATATATATCAGTGGCAAATTTCTGACCTTTGATGGTAGTTAATTTTACAAAAAAAAAAAAAAACATTAAACACATAAAACCGTTTGAAATATAAATTGACACTTCTCGACTGGAATCGAAAAATTTGGGTTTTAGTCCTTCATGGAGAGTAAATTACATAGATATTATTCTATATTAAAGTAGTATATGCTTATATTTTTGGGAATCGTAGAATACAATACAAAACTTTGAGCAAAACAATATAGTTATAATGAATAGTGAACTTACTACAACTAAATAATACTTATGTTGTACAATTTTACCCAGAGTTGATAAAAATCCGGCTTCTTATATTAACAAGATAGAGAGGGTTCTATTCATTAACTATTGAGGATTCAATACTTTAAATTAAATAAAAATACGGAAATTTAACATACAATCTAAAATTGAGCCAAGTAAACAAAAAACAGTCAGAGGAAGTCTTTCAAGTCTATTCAACAAGATCATAAAGCAGTGTCAAAGCTATAACTTGATCATATTAGTAACGAGAAATAATAAAATTATTATATACTTAACAATGGAGTTCTGTAGGCATGACCCAGAAACCATGGCAGTTATATTAGATTGGGGGACGATTCTTCTTGTATGTATTTCCTCTTAATGTCGATGAGCCAAAAAACCATAGGTTTTTGTGTTTTTTTTTTCACATGAGAAAATATTTTGCGGTACTGAGATTTAGAAGCAATCAAATAAAGATAATTAATGGTATAGTTTTTATTACAAAGGGCTCAATATTATGAGTATAACATAATGAAAAACTTGTTACAAATTATAGATGTAAAAGTATTAGAAAGTCTCACAAGGGTTTGGCAAAAGAAGTCCAAAAATTGTCAACGTAAGAGAACCCCCACATGATCACCGGACATCAAGGTAGCAAAATAAAACAACATACCAATGATTTGAAAGTTGGGCAAGACTATTCCCACTTTTGACATGTACATAGTTTCGGACAGTATTGAAGGAAAAGGGAAAGTATAATACTGAGGAGATAGGGATGCACAAGCACTATTGAATTAAAACTGCTGGGAAAAATATCTAACAGGAGTTATATAGATGCTATATACAGACCGTTAGAACTGTCACTTAGAATATATACATGGATTTATGTATATATCATAAAATAAGAACGAAAAATACTACTGGCAGATATTAAGCGGTGCAGAGAAGCAGAAGTAATTACTGTAAACTTAAAATTTTTGAGAGAATATCCAGCATAAGTTATTAAAATGCTATGCATTAGAGCTGTCATTTATGAGGATAGACATGGTAAACTATTCAGACCTTACCGCTATGAATTAGAAGGTAGACAGGTCTTAATTCACATATAATATGCTATCATTAGTGGAAAGATATTAAGATGGGCTAGGACTCAGAAGACATCACTGCAGGCTTTAAACCGTTAGAGCTATCACATAGAGGATAGACACGGTTGACTATTCAAACCTTAGAGCTAACACTTTGAGGTTAGACAGGTTTGAATTGAAAGCAATATCACTTGAAGGAAGACATTAAGATGGACTACGGCTCGGAAGAAATCACTGCAGGCTTTATAAACTGTTAGAGCTATCACATAGAGGATAGACACAGTTGACTATTCAAATCTTAGAGCTAACACTTTGAGGTTAGACAGATTGAATTGAAAGCATTACAACTTGAAGGAAGACATTAAGATGGACTACGGCTCGGAAGAAATCACTGCAGGCTTTAAACTGTTAGAGCTATCACATAGAGGATAGACACAGTTGACTATTCAAATCTTAGAGCTAACACTTTGAGGTTAGACAGATTGAATTGAAAGCATTACAACTTGAAGGAAGACATTAAGATGGACTACGGCTCGGAAGAAATCACTGCAGGCTTTAAACTGTTAGAGCTATCACATAGAGGATAGACACAGTTGACTATTCAAATCTTAGAGCTAACACTTTGAGGTTAGACAGATTTGAATTGAAAGCATTACCAATTGAAGGAAGACATTAAGATGGACTATGTCTCGGAAAAAATCACTGCAGGCTTTAAACCGTTACAGCTATCACATAGAGGATAGACACCATTAACTATTCAGACCTTTTAGAGCTAACACTTTGAGGTTAGACAGGTTTTGAATTAACATTAAAGCGCTGTCACTATAAACTATAAAGTAGTTTTTTTTCACATGAGCAGTAAATGTGAAATAATGAATTATTTATTTTGAGTAAAATAACAAATTATTATTAACACTGCCTATATAAAGATAATCATACTACCATGTCATGTTATAGTCATCTCATAGATATCTCATACACATCATTGGTTACTATTAGTGAAGTATTTTGTAAAATATGGTACTCCAAGATTCGCTCCAAAATTCATACTAAGAATTATAGTGAACTCTCCTATGTCAAATACTATAAATTATAAAATAATAAAATAATTAATTCTTTATCGTACCAAATTGTAGTAAGTGTAATGAAATTCCTTCCTGGGCTGTTGTGCCTTTTACTTAGGTTTGAGTTATAAAAATAGACTTAATAATAAGTTACCTTTAGATTATTAACTACAGAATATTGCAATAAATATTGAGAATACAGAAATTTACAAAAACTAGTAACAAGCTGAGCAGTGATGGGTTATAGGTTATAATATACATACATTGTCCTTCAACAAATATTACATTTATTCAAACGGGAGCTCAGTTGTATAGTTAAGATATAGATAGAATTTCACTTCAACAGGGTTTGCATGGGAAAATATAAATAAGAAGGGGTTGAGCCTTTCTTGTGAATATTTTAATAGAAAACAGAACACAAGATAGTGATAAATTTAACCCACTTAGAATAGTATTTCTTAAGTAAGTTATAAGATGTTAAAATTAAACTGGAATAGATATTCCAGATTGTTTTCTTTTTCAGTCATAATTCTTCCACAGGGCCACTTCTGCTGCAATCAAGCTGGCCTTATGTGTATAAGGAAATGTTATGAAATAACGATAATTTATTTATTTTATTAATTTAAATTTACTATACAGGCAATATGTTCAACATTTTTTTATAAAATAAGCGAAATTGCAAATTTCCATTCATTGGTATTATAAATTCGCAACCCTGTCTTCAAACATCTACAATTGTTAAGAATGTCTAGGACAAGGAGGGAGTATAATTAAATGGTTAAACGAACTTACCTTAAGTGAAGTTCAACCATAATTATACGAAGCTCCTTGTCCTAGACATACTCCCGGCCCAACCCTCCCTGGGTTAGGGTTGCTCATCTAACTCCTTGCTTTAAACATAATGAGGTTGCATTGACGGACGGGTGGATACAGTGTTGCCAGATATACTGCTTTAAAATTTTTTTTTAGTGAGCTTGGATAAATTGTGATGCTGGCATGGAATGCGGCGTACTACAATTGTTAAGAATGTCTAGGACAAGGAGCTTCGTATAATTATGGTTGAACTTCACTTAAGGTAAGTTCGTTTAACCATTTAATTATAATATCAAAGAATACATAAATGAAAACAACTCCTGGGAATGAGGTGATCGCCACCACGCTGGTTCTATAATGATTCCTTTAAAATTGTTGCACACAAGAAATGATTGCAAAGTGAAATGTTATGTTTAAAAAAGTCACACTGGGTTTCTTGCTGGTTCTTCCTAAGACAGAATTTTTTTCCGAACCAGTGTTAAACAAAAAAATGACTTTCAATAAGTATTATGCAATAATCTATATGTAATAAAAATCATTCATTTCATTTCATTAAGAACGCCTATCTCAAAAACCATATTGTTTTGCAAATAATTTTAACACAAGTTTAAACCCGAAAACGTCCACAGTCGTATAATATGCACGACTAGTCAATTAAAATCAACCTTTTATGGTAAAACCTCAAAAAGCACTCGGATCTAAAGACACTAAGCCGTGACAAAAACATCAAGAGAATCACGTTTTATCAAAAGCAGCTACGTGCGCATGTGTGAATCATTTTTTTTTTTGTATAAATAATATAGTATACAAAAATTAGTAAATAAGTAAACTTTTAAACAAACTTTGAAATAAACTATTCCTAAAGCAAACTACTACATTTGAGGCACGATTGATGATGTTCTACACTAAATAATTGAGTGTTAGAAGTTAAAAAGAGGTGGATTCATTAATGCTAATATCACATCAAAACTATCTGGTGTAACTAAAGAAACATTTCGGGGGTTAAGCCGCAAAAATGTATTTATGTGAAATATAAAATAAAAACACACGACAATAAATTCCGTACTCTGTACATTCCGTAACAGATTCAGTCATTTGTGAAACGTGGTTATACCAATACAATAGCGTTTCTGTCATCCATTGGTAATATTTACAACACCAAATAAGCGGGTCTATGAAAGCACTGGAAGTTATTTCGCCCCGGCGAAGCTCACGCAATTGCTCTACGATATTAAACAGCAAATTTTGAGTTGTTGTTTCATTATTAGTTTCCGGAATCGAGTAAATAAAACAATTAAATAAGATCTGGCAATTGTAAGGGTCAATCTGCTTTATATTTCCCGAGGTAGAAGAACTTTATATTTGCCGCAGTACAAGAACCCAAGGATCTTATAAGAGTCTTATAACATCCTTGGGTTCTTTATTTTCTTACGTCATTTATGTGAGTGTCAAGTAGATTTCAGACTACGCTATAATATAATAGCATATAGTATATAGCTCATAGCACAAAAATATCGCGCACAACACATTGTTGTGTTATGAGCTATATACTACATGCTATATATTATAGCGTAGTCTGAAATCTACTTAATTGTATGTGAGCCAGCCTTACATTAAACGGCTTATTTAAATGTTTCAACAGCTTATTGTTTTTAATCATGTGTATATAAATATATATATATATATATATATATATATATATATATATATATATATTACATACATATGGTTTAGATTGACAGTTGGTCTCGGTGAGTGGCACATTGTCGAGAATAGAATTACTCGTGCGAAGAAGGGATGGATCGCTAGTTTCTTTATATAATCTGAATTATATGTATTTAATTATTAAAATCTATATGGTCTGTTTATGCAGCACCAAAGGAGTGAATGGACGCATCACAGTAAACGGCACCGCTCGAGATATGCGAGTCTTCAAGAAGCTGACCAGCTATATCATGCAAGACGATTTGCTTCAGCCGCGGCTAAGTGTATCCGAGTCTATGCGAATCGCAGCGGACCTGAAGTTAGGAAAAGAGTTGGGAAGGGCAGAGAAGGAACTTATTGTAAGTAATAACATAATTTGCGGTAAACTATCTCACCATTTCATTCGGAGAGTGTAGCGAAACAAGATGACCATGGACATCGATCGAACGGCATGAGATTGTTATGGCATTTCCCATATTCGCCTCTTACGGCACCCATATATCTTACGGGTAAAGGTTAACTCACACTAGACCGAGTCGGGTCCGAGCCGAGTGTCGGCCGTAGCACGCTCACCGAGCCAGTCCCGTGCCTGAAATTACAAACACGGGCCTCGACCGAGCAATTACCGTTGCGCCGTCATGCAGCATACCCGTCCGAGCAAGAATAGTGTTATAACGACTACAATCTTGTTAAAATTTGACGATGCGGAATTAGCGGCTATTGAGATCGCTCTGGACGATGAAGAATCTGATAAATCTTCAACTACAAGCCGGGAACAAGTTGTTACCTAGCGTTGAACGTTGCTCGGCTCGGCTCGTCACTCGGTTTCCGCTAGGTATAGCGTGAGTGTCTCCATACAAAATATATGTAATACTAGCCAGGCAGACGTTGTTCTGCCCTTTACAACAATTTGTCATGTCCTATTAAAAATCTTTAAATTCGGAAAATAAATTGTGGGAAAAAAACTATCCTATCTCTTAAGTTGGACCAAACTGCACACGGTGTGCCAATTTGATTAAAACCGGTTAAGTAGTTTAGAAGTCCATCACGGACAAACAACGTGTTAAGATTAGTTGACCGTGCTACGGCCGACACCCGGCTCGGACCCGACACGGTCTAGCGTGAGGCATTCTTAACTTAAGAGGATAGAGTAAGTCAGCTCAAATTCTAATTTCGCCCCCACTTCCCCGCTCGTCGTATGCTATGTACCGACATGTTTGTAATCACTAATACTGTAAGTAGATAGGTCGTTAGATACTTATTTCATTAGGTTTATCATATTTACGCCTGTTTCTTAACGCCAACCCAGTCACTTCTTATTTTTATAACGGTTATTTCCCATTTTAATTTTACGTCGTCCTGTTGCGTAATGTGTATTCTGCTCGTAAGCGACACAACTTCTCCCTTCAAAAGCCGGAGCGATACTAACGGGGCGACAGGAATCAAGCTTACGCGCCGATAGTTTAGGTAATTTCTTTTTACAGTGAAAATAATGGTATTTTAAAAAAAGTAAATAACATAACCACTGCTTTATAGTTAGTCCAGTTAGTATGCAAAGTTTCATGATCTTATTTAAAGTATTTTATGAATAACAGTGGTTTATTGTTTATTTTGGAGGTAACTTTGGATTTTTTTCTATCGAGAAAATTTTACGAAATCGTTTTTCGTCTAACATAATCCTTAACATTAATCCTCAACTTTACCATATATTAATTTCAAAATTAATGCTGCAATATTTTCGGCATAACGAAGGATCTTGCTAAGCCATTTGACATTATATTTCCCCTTAAACAAGCATCTGTTCACCGTTTGTCCGCGTTGTGGCACTGTAAGTACATCCCTTACCCCATATCCTCTCATGTCCGTCGTAAGATGCAACACAGGGAAACAAACTTGAAGATGGGCAGCAGCGTATCCCTAATAACAAGACATAATAAATAAAAAAGCTGCGGCTACCAACACACCCGCTAAACTTGGCAACTATGGCAAATATCTCCCCCATGGTATAAGGGGGAGGCCTAAGTTCAGTAGTGATTTTTATAGACTAAAACAGTTGAAAGCATCTTAGGTGGCTGGTGGACAACTTTTGAAACAGCAATCAACAATTCGAACCAAGCGTTGCGTTTATAGTAATCTTCTCAACGACGATAGTTTTGCTGGTTAATAATAATTTCAGTCCATTTATAACATACTAACATACATACATAAACACTCACGCCTGCCACCCAGAGGGGTAGGCAGAGACTACAGACTTCCATTTGGCACGATCCTGACACACCTCTATCGCCTCCTTCACATCCATACACCTATGCATACATGCTCGTCAAAGTTAGTATGTCGGTTAAGGGTAGGAGTACCCTTAACCGACATACTAACATTGTAATAATTAGTTGGTTACAGTCATGTCCGCAACAAAGCTTTGACTCACTACTTTTTTGACATTTACGTTCTACAAATATAATGGATGCATGTGTTTGCAAATACAATAAGTTGAGAGCTAAGCTCTCAACTTAGTACAAATAAAACTGTAGTAATTAGAATTAGAAATTCAATGAAATAAAAGCATAGTTTAAATAAAGTGATTTATCATAATCGTCATCATTACAGCCATTCAAAGTTCACCGTTAAACATATGTCTATCATTACATTACCTTTTTTTTATAGTTGTTATTAGAAAGACGCTACTGTTCATCTCCTGGTTTTTTGAACAGGGTAGTGGAGATATTATAGTATCCACTAACCTATATCGTCCATTGGTTGTCGTAAGAAGTGACCAAGGGAAACAAAAACCCTGTGGTTCCCGTTAAGTGCGTTATCAGAATCAGTATTCTAACGTATAGAAATAACTTTTATTAAAAAAACTTGACCATAAAAAAATATTTTGTCATTATTTAAATTAAAAATGAATTATTTGCAAAATGTTGTTTTATTACCTTATAATTACGCCGCATACACATACGCATACACGCGCATCAGGAAAGCGAGGTTTTGGTTAATCCTTTTTACCCCCGGACAATGCAGATTAATAAAACCACATACATTTTGCAAATTAAAATTTATTTAAATTAAATTTTAATAAAATATGGTCGAGTTTTAAAAAGTTATTTCTATACGTTTGAATACTGATTCTGATAACGTACTTAACGGGAACCACAGGGTTTTTGTTACATGTTGTATAATGATAATAATAATATCTTAATAATCAAGGGAAATATTATCTAAATCGCCTAGCAATCTTACTTTTATACCTAAAAATAAGTTATTTTATTTTTATGTCTCGTCTTCTTTACTTTTTTTTTTTTTGGGTTGATTGATGCAGATAGCTCAGAACCGTATTTTGGTGTGCAGTGCAGTGGGAAGCTGATCTTATAATGGGATGAGATAATAATGACGATGACAATAAAAAATTGTTGAAATAATCTATGTCGCAAATGTAGTATACCAACAAATTAGTTTAACTTACGAGTATTTAACAATTACTATCCCTTTCAGAACTGGCCCTACATGATTGTGTGGTTTACTAGATTCAATTTTGTTCAAAAACTATTTATTCTATACGAACGGGCTCGATCTCACACGATTGCGCGTGAGCCGAACTTTTACCTTATGTGTGAATTTCGCGCGTCAGTCAGTTGGCCAGCAGGCAGCGACCTGCCTAGTACTACGATTTTTTTCGGTCCTGGCTTTGGCGAATGTAAGTAGAATTACATAAGTATTTCTTAGTTATTTATAAAGTTTTTTGCACGTAACATCACTTAAATGTTTTTTTCACCGACTTTTGTGATTTTTACACTGTAATTGGTAAATAAGCTTCAGTGACGAGTTACCGAACTTTTTTGACACAATCGTATGAAGTGGGGCCGAAGGCTATCTCTTATCGACCCTAGACACTAAGAGATGTTTTATTTATTTTGCAGATTTTTACAATAATGGCACGGTTCTTACACGACGACCAGATTGAGGGATTCCTAAATGGCTCCGGGGATGAGGGTAGTGATGATGAAGAGCTGCAGGACATGCCTTTTCCAGGCCAAGAAACTAGTATTCCTTCTCCATCTGAGTCTCAGTCTTCAAGTAGCAGCGATGAAGACGTGCCACTGTCAAATTTGCAATGGAAGAAGAAGAAATTTCATGATAAAGCGATACCAGGGGTCTCAGACCCCAAACTACACGCAGTATTAACTCCAGCGCAATACTTTGAACGCTACTTCACGCTGGAATTAATGGAACAGTTTGCGCTAGCCACTAATCAGTATTATATGACTGAAACTGGACATCAGTTGAAGCGCGTTTGTACTTCTGGGGAAATCAAAAAGTTTTTTGGCATCCACGGTTTAATGGGGTGCTTTAGTTATCCAAGAATCAAATTGTTTTGGAACCAGCGTTATAAGTTCGACCCCATAGCAAGTGCTATGTCGAGAGATTTTTTTCTCCTCAGGGTAAACCTGCATGTTCTAAATGTTCATGGCGTGAACAAAGAAGTGGAGCAAGCAAAGAACAAACTATGGAGAGTTCAACCTGTTATTGACTCCGTACGTAATCGTTGTCTGCAGCTGCCCCGCGAAGATATCCACTATTCGATTGATGAACAGATGGTTCCGTTTGGAGGAAGGTGCGCGGGGGTAAAAGTGGTTGTAAAAAATAAACCCCGCCCCGAGGGCTTGAAAAATTTCGTCGTTACTACTTCCACAGGGAAAGTATTAGATTTCGAAATTTACCAAGGAAACACTACCAATTTACCTGATTCAGAAAAATTTGGGATGGGACCCGCTGTCGTTTTACGACTAGCCAGCACTCTACCAGAAGGAAGTTTTCTTTATTTTGATAGATACTTCTCATCTTTGCCATTGATGCAGGAGCTCCAGAAAAGAAATATGGATGGAACAGGAACTTTGATGATGAACCGTTTCAATACAAAAAAAAAATTAAAGTATGAATTTAAAAAAGGATGCGGCTATGAAACGAGGTGAATATGAAGAGATTGTGAGCGCTGATGAAAAGATCTGTATTCTAAAATGGAAGGACAATAAAGGTGTGTTGATGACTTCGACAGCCTTTGGTAGTGAACCCGTATCCATTGTTCCTAGGTGGGAAAAGAAATCAAGGCAATACATCGAGGTTTCCTGTCCAGCTGTTGTAAAAAATTACAACGCTTTTATGGGAGGAGTGGACACCTGTGACCAGATGATGGAAAACTATCGAACTTGGATTAAATCAAGAAAATGGACAGTTAAGGTTATCCTACATTTGTTTCACCTGTCCATAGTCAACTCTTGGATGGAGTATAGACAAGATTGCAGGGCAAACAAAATGAAGACTAAGGACATCCTAGACCTTCTGGCTTTTCGTCTAAGTGTAA